AACATTTCTCAGATCACTGGTAGCACTCACTCCAGACTTATTCAATGCTTGACTTCACGTGTTCCTTCCTTAGGATTTCACGACGATTTGGCTAAATATCAGCATCCAAGCAACACGTCTGGAGAACACGAGTCGCCTGGAAACAGGCCTTCTCCAGACACACCAGACGCTTCATCGCCGAGCGAAGGCCGTCTGTCGACATTCTATGAGGAAAATGAGGAACACAATATTGAAGCTATGATGCTGGAAGAGTGGTACGACGAGCTACGTATGGACCTGCATCCTACGACGATTACCGATGATTATCTCTATTGCGTCCCAACAACTATGCTGCCCGACCAGTGTGTTTTGGTTTCAGCATTTGTGGACGAAGATGATACTATATCATCAGATATGCTCGGAGACGAGCCGAAATCATGTGAGTCCTGTCTAGTCTCTCTCTGTTCAAACACAGCCGACGAGAGCTACTCTCTAGACAGTGATGAATACGGTCCTTACGTTGAACTATGCTTTACATCAGAAATGTCTAAAATAGTGTTGGATCAGACTCAACTTGCACAGCTCGACACCGATATGGTCGAAACGATGAGAGTATATGTATCCTCTGCTGCTAAACGTGCTGTGGCTGTCAAAGAAGATGATCTACTAACCAAAGCCGACATAGCAGCACATCCAAAGGAGGTTTGTGAAGCCTTATATACTGAGCTCAAAATCTGGATTGATAATCGATGCTTTGAGATGTACGATTTATCCAAAGCTTCCAACATCATGACGTCCAGATATGTATACAAGTGGAAGTTCGTAAAGATGGGTACCGAGAACGTTAAAACCATTCGTCTCAGACTGGTCCTTCGTGGATTTATGGATACTGAGGCTTTTGATGTGGAAACATTCTCGGGAACCGCCCGAAGGCAGTCCCAACGACTCCTGGCAAGTGAAGCGGCATGCCATCCAGAGTGGATCTTAGCATCCAAGGATATCGATAAGGCGTTCCTCAAGGGTTTGACCTATGAGGAACTTGCCCATGCCACCGGCGAGGAAACTCGCATGGTTTGCTTTACTCTTCCACCAGGAAGCGCTCAGGTACTTCGTACATTTCCCGGCTTCTCATCCTACGACGAAAGTCGACACTGTCTTAGATGCCTAAAACCAGGAACGGGTACTAAGGACGCTCCAAGAGCGTTCTCTCTCAAACTCCGTACGACCACACGAGCTATAGGACTTACACCGACCAGCTACGATCCTGAATTTGAATTCAGCCAAGACCTTCTGACGGCAAAACATGTCGATGATATTAATATGACAGGTCTAGAGAAAAATATAGACGACTATGTACAACGCGTCGAAAAGGTGTTTGGCAAATGCAAGCTCAACAAGCACACATATACGAACTGCGCCGTTCGATACACTAAGAATGATCAGGGAGATGTGATCATGGACCAGGACGAGTACATTAAACAACTACGTCCTATCACACACCCAGAACTTACAGGAGCGGCGGCCGACGCCAAAGCCACGAAACTCATTACCGACATGTTCGTCAGCCTGCGAGGAGCCCTCGCCTATGCCCTTCTTACTCAAATCTGGCTTATGGTATATGTGGTCTCTCTTCAGAAAATTCAAGAGCCCACCAATTTACAAGTCAGACGTTTGAATGCTGTGACGCGAATGCTGATCAGCAGTCCGAAACGTATCACCTTCCCTCGGATGAAGCCGACGAATGAAGTTGACATCCATAGCGATTCGGGGTATCGGAAGCTTACCGGGGAGGAGGATGACGAGACCAAGGGCTACGGCATACGCGGGGCCAACGTACTACGGCGAGGAAACTCGCCTCAAGGCAAGTCCGTCGTTCACCTCTGTGACGGACTATGCAAATCACACCGATTACAGGTGAGGTCCAGTTATGCTGAGGAGGCACTTGCAGCCGCACATAACCTTGATGAGTGTTACCCTACGCTCATTACTCTCCACGAGCTTAAGGCAGGAGCTTTGACTCCACGACAATTACGAGACATGCGTGAAGTTGGAGGCCTAGCTATCAAAGTCTCTCTTACCATAGACGCCGAGTCCGTCTACAAATCTTTATCAAGCAGGGATCTCAAGGTACCTACATAACGGACTCTGCTTGGGCATATCAGCTGGATACGTGAGCTCATGGATATAGGTATAGTACATAATGTGCAATGGTGTGATACTAGGGATATGACCGCAGATGGGCATACAAAGGGAAGCATCGATCGGGAGCTGCTTCTGGAAGTGATGTCAGGCACTCAGTCTTTTAAGTATGACGTGAAGCAATTTGTTCCCTTTCGGGGTCCCGAGGACAGAGACAAACCCAAGTCTAATCAATTTTAGCCTGTCCTTGTTGCCCTCGCGGTCCAGTCTGCCAGCACGGGCGCGCCCCTTTAGCTGCTCGGAAACGAGCCTTATATTTCACGCCTGGCAACGAGCCGGCTCAGTACAACTCAGGCTCTTTGCCTTAATACACATTTGCTTGGTGAGGTATGGCCTAATTTTGGCTCACCTCTAACTAAGCCGATAGCCCTTCATTGTTTGAAGGGGCTATCCTGTATTTGCGTGAAATACTTTGCGAGGAAACTCGCCTTACAGTCTGGTGTTTGACCAGACTGTACGCACTGTTTTCTTTTCTTTGCAAACAGTCGTGCGCGAGATCTTTGCGTGCGACTATGCTCTCCGTCTCCTCCCCTCCCGACTTTAAGGGTAGCTCTTTGGGAGATGTTACAGTATCGGGAGCATAGCTCGCGCGCCGCTGCCTTGGGCTCAAGGCACGCGCGCCCTATTTGCTCGGACACTGCTTGTGTTCGCTATGTGCTGGAAAGATCATTACATCGATCTTATCCTATCTTACCCATCCACCCCTCATACTGTACCCTCACAGCAGAGCGATGGATGCAATTTGCCAGGCTATATGCCCTATTTGAGTTACCAGGCTCACTTTCGACTGAGGGTGCAGGGAGGAGGGAGCAGGGGGAGGGAAGGAGGGAGGAGGAGGGAGGAGGGAGGTGGGAAGGAGGCAGGAGGCTAGGAGGGAGGAGGTTGGTAGGAGGAGGAGGGAGGAGGGAGGAGGGAGGAGGGAGGAGGGAGGAGGGAGGTGGGAGGAGGGAGGAGGCAAGGAGGGAGGAGGAGGGAGGGAGGGAGGAGGGGGGAGGGAGGGAGGGAGGAGGGAGGAGGGAGGAGGGAGGAGGGGAGGAGGGAGTGGGGAGGAGGAGGGATGGAGGTGGAGGTGGAGGTAGGTGGAGGTGGTGGAGGAGGAGGAGGGAGGAGGAGGAGGAAGAGGAGGAGGAGGAGGAGGAGCCGGAGTTGGAGTTGGAGGAGGAGGAGGAGGAGGAGGAGGAGGAGGAGCCGGAGGAGGAGCCGGAGGAGGAGCCGGAGGAGGAGCCGGAGGAGGAGGAGGAGGAGGAAATGCAGCCAAAAAGAGGGGACGCGGAGAAGGAATAGGGGGGAGGACAACGAGGCGGGTGGAGACGAGTAAAGAATACGAGGGAGGAGAAGGAAAGATTGGGCGGAGGAGGAGGAGGCGCAGGAAGAGGAGGAGGAGGGGGAAATATGAGGGAAGAGAGAGGGAAGAGCACGGGTGAGGAGGGAGGATGCAGAATAGGAGGGAGGAGACGGGGGGAAAGAGGTGGAAGAGGAGGAACAAGACGGATGAGGAGGAGGAGGAGGAGGAGGAGGAGGACAAGGCTGTGGATAACGGTGATGATGAGGAGGAGCAGATCGAGGAGAAGAGGAGGAGGGGGATGGGGAGGAGGAGGAGGAGGAGGAGGAGGAGGAGGAGCAATGAGAGGGGCGACTCGCGCAGTCAGGTGAGTCTGGTACCAGTAAGCCGTACGCACCAACTTTTGTTCACTCGGATTTGCACCACCGCTGCGCTCCGAGAATTTCGGGCGGGCAAATCCGTGGAGCAAGCAGACAGCATAAGCACAAACATTTGGACGTCCACGCGGATTTCGTGCGCCGTCGCCAGACCCCCTCCCCGCCACCCTTCCGGCGCCTCCGGCACGGGCCGCCGTCTCGCCCCGCGCACCGCGGAGGGGGTGTTGGGAGGCATTCCGGTCTGGTCCAGCGCCGACCCACTAAGTCCGCGCGGACCTCCGAGAGTTTATGTATGTGAATGTGTTGATTATGATGTTATCTTTCGCCAGGAGCTGCAGTTTCCGAAGACGTTCAAACCTTCGATCCCTTGTCGCGTTCCCAGTTCCTCGCCACGTCCACTCGCTTCTCACGAGGCCGATGCCCATCTCGGGGGGCTTGCGGGTCTTGGTATAGCGTTGTTCGTTGTCATCACTGTGCTCTTTGCGTTCACCTGGTTCCAGCGCCTCTCCTGGCAATGCTGCTCTTGCTACTCCTTACATCCCGATCTTCCAAGATATTACGTCTGTGCTCTGGGCTTCTGCTCTTGTGGATTCATCTCTGCAGGGCAGTCTATGTGACATACATCGTCGTCTCTATTATGACTTCATTTGATGCCCTCTCAGTTTCCCATCCCCAGGTTTCAAGACCAGTACTGGGGCGAGCAAGAAGCCATAGACGGTGACGAAGATGTGTACTGGAAGTTCAGAGAATTCTGACGCTTTGGTGTGCCTCGGTTCGCCACGTAGCTGGCTTGAAAGGACAGCTGCCGGCGAAGCGTGGGCAAAATGCGACGCGAAGGGACGTGGGTGGGGATTGCGTTGCTTGGAAGACTCTGAGGCAGAGGCGGCTGAGCATGATGAGGGCGATACCAGCAGCAAGAAGAGCTTCATTGGCCGGCTGGCCGTGGTCCCGTGGCTGCGGCGAGCGAGGGAGGGAAGCGGGGAGTAGAAGGCATTCTCAGGAGGCGGCGGGGCGTCTCGGAAGCCCGTCCGGTCTTCATCTTGTGTCTGCGGGGGCAGGCGTCGAGGACTTCTCAGCAGGCCAGGGGCCTTCCGAGCCTTCTGAGACGGCCCGCCGCCTCCTCGTCCTCCTCTCCTCCTCCTCCTCCTCCTCCTCCTCCTCCTCCTCCTCCTCCTCCTCCTCCTCCTGCTCCCTCCCTCCTCCAATTTCAGGCGATTTTCTCGAGGCGTTACTTCGGCTCGGGCACGCGGTGGCGTAAGTGGCATGTGGGTCGTGGCGGCGCCCGCCTCTGCCCCGCGCTGGAAGGTGCGGACGTCGTGCTGCTTCTCTCCCCTCTGCTTCTGCTGCTGGCCCGCCGCCGAGTTTGGCGATTCGCGGAGCCCACCTCCTGCGTCGAGTGGCGTCCGCTGCCCGCCGCTCGCGGCTCGCTCTGCGCGGGCGGCCGCGGGCGGCCGCGGGCCGCGCGTGGGCCACGCGCCGCCCCGGGCGAGGGGCACACGGTGGAGGGGTTCTCCGGAGGGCTTAGGCGACCCGTCTTCCTCCTCCTCATCCTCCTCCTCCTCCTCCTCCTCCTCCTCCTCCTCCTCCTCTTCCTCCTCCTCCTCCTCATCCTCCTCCTCCTCCTCCTCCATCTTCTCCTTCTCCTCTTCCTCCTCCTCCTCCTCCTCCTCCTCCTCCTCCTCCTCCTCCTCCTCCTCCCCCTCCTCCTCCTTCTCCTCCTCCTCTGGTCGCCGACGGCCCCGGGGGCGCGCGGGAGGCACGCTGGAGGCGCCAGTGGCCGCGAGGCGGCACGCCGCGGGGAGCCGAGAGGCCGCGGGCCGAGAGGAGCGGGGAGCCGGAAGATTTCGGCATCGCTCGGACGCGTGCAGTTTTACGTCGGCGAGGGCCATCGAGGAGCATCTTTCAGCCACGCGCAGAGGGGGGTGGGGGGAGGGGGGAGGGCTTCTCAGAGGCACCCCTGCTTCTTAGAATGCTGGGGCCTTCTCTCAGGCGATCGCAGGCATGGATCAAGGAGGCGCGGATTAGCGACGGGTCTTGTTTCCACGGGACATCGCGGATTTCCGCCGCCGAACGAGGCGGCACCTGCCGCATTTTGGAGAGGGCACCTCCCCCGATCCATGGACTTGGCGACCGCGCCCCAAATCCATGGATCGCTAATCGATTTTTGCGCGCCCCCGAATCTTTTTCTCGGCGAGGACCATCGAGGAGCATCTTTCAGCCACGCGCAGCCATACGATTTAGAGGAAAACGCGTTTTGTGGTGCGATTTGGGCAGCAGAGAGAGGGGGTGTCAGTTTCCCCCCCCGTCACAGGGGGAGGAGGAGGGGGGGGCTCCAGATCCTTCTCTCCCCCGCAGTTTTGGAGGAGTCTATGGATGTTTGTTCGGTGGAGGGGGGCAGTTTTGAGAGTTGCTTTGGGGATTCCTGAGGCAAGCTGAAGTGCGCTCTTGCGACAGCAGGGGCGAGCCACCGAATGGACGACATTTTGCATTCACTGTTGACGGTTTTATTTTATCGTGCTGCTATAGGAAGCCGCCCATGGAGTGATCGACCGCGCTGGGGCCCAGGATCCACCGGCCAATCCCACTCGGCAGCAGCAGCACACACCAGCAACATATGGCATGTATGCCAACAATGTTTGATAGATCAAAAGCTACTCGATATGTGTATGTTTCCAGGGTAAGTCGTTGCGTAAGGTCCCATACTTTTTGTGTACCCTGGCTTTACCTGTTGTTGGAGGATTCGTCAACACACTGTTTACCATCTCGTGTCTTGAGGTAGACGGGCGTGCGTTTGTGGTTCCAACATCGCAAATACGTAAAGTTGCTACCCGTGTGTCCATTCGCCTAATGCCATTGGTTGAGCAGGTGGTGTGAAAGGTCGGTCGCACGTTTCTAATTATCTCTCAGATGGTCTTTCTGTCCAGCCAGCGTTGTCACAACGTCGTCTGGCGCGCTGTGCTGTTACCAAACAGCCATGCGTCTTAAGATAATCCTTGCATTTCAGTTCAATGTGCCGCTGGCTCGGTACTTGAGTATTGTTTCAAGGGCCGAAAAAACGCCCCTGCCGTGGTTTACGAGGCGCTGTGCTCTGAAATTCCTGTGGGCTGACAGGGCAAACCCTGCGTGATGTGCCGCGTCCTGGCGGCTCCAGGCTTTGGGGGTTCCCAGGAGGTTTAAAGGCCACGCACTTGTAAGCCAGGGTAGGGTCGTTTTTTTTCATCCCTCATTGTTCAAAGGGGAAGATATCCAGTTGCTTGCGGCAAGCCCTGCCACCGTGCTCGTGCAACGCCGCCACAGGAAGGAAACGGAGTGCAGAACCAGCGCAACTCCGACGGAAAGCCGCGGTAACCATAGCGGGGGGGATCGGCCCAGAGTGGGGGACGCATCGACCCCCCGTCGTTGCATGTATGTATGGATGTAGGTCTGTATGCATGCGTGCATGTACATTCGGGGCCCTGAAGAAGGAACCTTTTTCGTTGGGGAGGCGCTCGGTGTTCCTTCAGTGTTTCACAGCTTGCCGCAGGTTTTCCTTATGCTTTCGATCGGACATCGAAGTTTACTTATGGAAAAAAGGGGGCCTCGTTCCTTATTTAGGGTTCCTTAGGTCAACGCCCCGACTGTATTCATATGCTAGATCATGTATTATCCGGCGGCCAGGTCTCCGGGCCTTGGGGCGGCCCCACTGCCCTTGGGGGTGGGTCCAGGAGCTCGTTTGCGGCCTTCAGAGGGCCATTTCGGCTTCAAGAGACTTCCGCACTGATTCAGGAGGCGGCCCGCCCCCCCCCCCCACGAGGCACCCCAGGAGTCTTCCAGAGCTCCGCTGAAGCTCCCAACGTAGAAGTCCTGTGGCCCCCCCAGGCTTGCGAGAACGCCCCCTTGAAAACATGGTCCCCCCTCCCTCCGTTTGTTCGCTTCCGATGGGATTTTGAATCCCCAAGATGAATGCAAGGTCCTCCAAGAGAGCTCCAATCGAGCCCCGACGCGGGCCCAAGATGGCCTAACAGGCCCCCGAGACGGGCGTGGGACGGCCCAGGATGCCCCCCAGAGGCCCCAGAAGGTTTTCAAGAGGCCCCGAGAGGCCCCCCGAGGTCCAGAAGATGCCCCAAGAGAGCCCCAACAGGACTTCCGCAGCGATTTTGGCGCAAGGAGTTCGAAGTGCAGGCGCCTCGCGCATACAAGACAAGTATCGGTTTCTCGCGTGCCTGGAGATGGCGCTCCGCCTCGCCACTCTCTTGCCCGCGCTGGTTCTGGCAAGTGAATCGGGGGGGCCTGTCTGGCAGGACAAGGGTGTGCCCTGGATAAGCAGGACGAGACAGGGCTGCTGCAGAACAGTGCCAAGATAACAGCCGTCGCGAAGCAGACGCACCTCGAGGCGAAGCAGTCCCCCCGTCGGCCACAGCATGGCCCCCCGTCCAGCACGACTGTGACCACGAAGGGCCACAGCATATTCGATGACGATTCAGAGCGCGTGAACCTCAGTCTTCAGGCCGTGCCTGGTTGTCGTTCACGCAGGCCTGCTTTTGGAAGAAATTGTTGTTTGGGGGATAACTTCAGGGGCAAGTGCGAGGCGTGCGCCCGCGCCACTCAGGACGCGCGATTGTGGTGCAACCGCGACCAGGCCCCACTTTCTGGCTGCGGTCACGACGGCCGTTGCGGTGCAAGCAGCGGGCGTTTCAACCCATTGGGTAAGGGGTAGCCATGTAAAGAGGTCATTCAGTGTCCCCCATATTATGGATGCGCGCAATTCTTCGGCGCAGGTGGTAATTGCGGCGGTAGGAACTGATATTTCGAGCCCTCCGCGTTCCCGCGTGCTGCTGCTGTTTGTTTATGTTGTTTTTCGTGGTGCGTTTTCCTTCGCCGCTGTCGGGCGCGCCCCGACCGCTGCCAGAGAGCACCGGGGACGGAGGAAGAAGAGCAGACGCAGGACCAGGAGGAGGACGGATGAGGAATAATGAACGAGGGGCGGAGGATCAGGAGGAATCGCTCGGCCCGGCGGGCTGTGGCACGGCCGGGCAGAGGTTGCGCGTCCGTTGGCGACCGGCGCCCCCGCCCCCGGGCATTTCTGTTTTGTGATTTCTGCGCGCGGCAGCGAGCCAGAATAATGGCGGTCGTTGGCGCCGCGACGTGGTCCGCGCGTCGCCGGGCAACCAAAAATCAATCCGGAAATTATTTTGCGCGGGGAATGCAGCGCCGCAATCGAGCGACAAAATTAATCGTGACAAAAAAGGTGCACATCCGGGCGATTTGTTCCAGCTGCTGGTTGCGCATTTTTGTTGCGCGTCGATGCCCGATGCATTTCGAATCGCTATATTTTTGTTTGTTTATACCAGCGTTGGGCCCGCGATTGCAGCGCGGGGTTAAACGCCGAAACGGCATCGCGGGGGAAATGGCGCTTGCACGTGTCGGGGGACCTGTCGCAAACGTATCCACGCAAGCGGGATTCGACGGGATGTTTCTGAGAGGTTCCGAATCACAGACTAAACGTAGAATCGCAGACCGCGTGCGGCGAGTCACAAATCGCGCGCGCCGAATCGCAGACAGCACGCGTTGAATCAGAGATTCCGCGCGCCGAGTTAGAGACTCCGCGCGCCGAGTCAGAGACTCCGCGCGCCGAATCAGAGATTCCGCCCGCCGAATCTCCGCCCGCCGAATCAGGTGTGCCGCCTGCTGAATCAGATACTCCGCCCGCTGAAATAGAGACTCCGCCCGCCGAGTCAGAGACTCCGCCTTCCTCCCCTCTTGTACTCTTTTATTTCCTCAGATTTCCGCTGATCCGGCTGATCCCGTGATCTAGCCATGGCCAACCGATCCGGTGAGTTAGTGGTCCAGCTGGTCCAGTGATCCACCAGATCTGGCAGGTCCGGCTGCTCCTGTGATCGGGTCAGCTGATCCAGTGATCCGGTGACGGCGATTTGTGTTGTGGCCAGTTGATCCGGTGATCCGGCTGATCGGGTAATCCGGCGGGCTCAGCCAGCTGAACTGGTGACCCAATGTTTTAGTGCTTCTTGACCCGGCGTTGTGGCTAGCTGATCCGCTGATCCAGCTGATCCCGCAGATCCAGTTGATCCAGTGATCAGAAAAAAACGTGTTCTATTGCTGCTGGCGGGCGGAAAACTGAGGGGGTCACTGGGGGTTCCCAACCCGCCCCCTCCCCCTCTCGAAA